GTCTTTGACACTTTTGGGCCAAGTGTTGTATCTTTGGTTAATACATCTCTCAGCTCAGGGTGTGTACCAGCTGTTTTTAAACATGCCATTGTGCAACCGATTCTAAAAAATAATAATTTGGATCCTTCAATTTTGTCTAATTTTAGACCTATATCTAAACTCCCCTTTTTATCGAAAGTCTTGGAGAGAGTTGTTTTTAATCAACATCAATCATTTCTAAATGAATTTAATATTTATGAAAAATTTCAGTGTGGTTTTAAGCCCCGTCACAATACTGAAACTGCTCTTTTAAGAGTTTCTAATAGCCCCTTTTTTTGTGGCGTCCCCCAAGGGTCAATATTGGGCCCTATGTTGTTTTCTTTGTATATGCTGCCCTTGGGGTACGTATGAGCACATTACCCCAGTCTTAGCTTCACTACACTGGCTTCCTGTCTGCTTCAGGATTGAATTCAAGATTTTATTGTTTGTTTTTAAGATTTTAAATGGCTTGGCGCCTGCTTATTTATCAGAGCTTTTACATGTCCACACTCCTGTTAAAGCACTGAGGTCGTCCAATCAGGTGCTCCTCGATGTTCCAGGTTAAAAAATAAAGGTGACCGAGTTTTTTCAGTGGTGGCACCTAATTTGTGAAATAGTTTACCTGTACACATAAAAACTGCTCAGACTGTTGGAATTTTACAGTTTCGTCGCTGGCCCCTCTTGAGCACTGGAATTCGTCCTTTCATTACGACGAGCCCAGAAAACACACAATCCTTTCCATGGAATGTCAGACGCTAATGAATTTCAAATGCTAATGCTAACTTCCATGTTCCAATTGCGCCCCATCACCGCCACTTCCTATAATTCCATTTCGAAGGGAAAACATTTGAATTCAAAGTGCTCCCTTTCGGTCTGGCTTTAGCACCAAGGGTCTTTACCAAGGTCGTTCAGGCAGCCCTTGCTCCCTTACAACAAAAAGGCAGGTCTGGAAACTTTACTGACGATGGGCCGGTTGTACGCCACAATAAGGGTTTATGTGGCTGCGATTTCAGTGCACAGCGGTCTCATAGATGGTTGCTCTATTGGGAAGCATAAATTGGTGGTTGCTTTTTTAAAAGGTGTTAACCGGTTAAATCGATTGTAGAATCATTATTCCACAGTGGGATCTTAGTATTGTTCTTAAAAATCTTTGTGTGTATCCGTTTGAGCCATTGCCATTAGCAGATATTAAATGGCTTTCTTTGAAAAACGTTTTTTTTTTATGGCCATTTCGCTCTCTGTGACTTCACAATGTTTACAGTGGTATTCAGAAGATTCCAAAGTGACGCTATGGCTAAACCCGGCTTTTTTTATGTTAACACACCAGTGATATTGCCAGCGTTTCACTCGGTAGACCTCGAGATGCGTCAAGAGCTTTGTCCTGTGAGATCCCTTTGTCTTTATGTGTATAGGACAGCTCCCTGGAGAACTACTGACCAGTTATTTGTTTGTTTTTCAGATCCTAATAAGGGGTTTCACTTCTGTACAGAGTCAGATTGTCCTTATTGGTAACTAATAAAGAGTTATGTCGTAAAGGGACATGCATACCGCCAGAGCCTCTGGTCATTCGGGTCAACGAGAAGACTCTGAGGAAGTCATGACATTTAAGGAGGTATTTATAGACAGATATGTCATTAAGGTCACTAGGTGACAGCTTTTATATTAGGTTCTCGACAAGGAAGAGGACAGAAAGATATTCTGCCCTCTGGCGGTCTTCTGCCAGTCAAAGAACCAAGGTTACATACGTAACCAACGTTTCGATTCTCTTTCAGTCATGAAACTGTCTTCACCTGCAGTGAGTCATTCACAAGCCGCAGGTGTTCAACTTACCTTCTTCATTACTGACAAACAAGGTTTTTGCCGGTTTGTTTTGAATATTTTATGTAATTATTTTTTTCATTCAGCGCTCGTTTTGTTCTCTGTGTTCTTTAATTATTGCATTACTGTTTTACGGAGTAAGAACCACAAACCGATTCAGTCAGACTGTTACACTAATGGAAAAGATTAGACTCTAAACAGTGATTCATTCGCGATTCAGCATTATTATGTCTGATTCTAAACAAACGACAGAAAATATGGGGAACACAACGTGATTGCTGAAATACCGTGAATTGAAATTGTTTCTCAGATCTTCTTTACTACGCAAGGATTTATCAGTAAAGTTTCACCAGGGCTTATGATAAACTGATTCCTAATGCTTTCTTTTGTGTGTGTGTGTGTGTGTGTGTGTGTTGTCTTCCATTTTAAAGTCAACAAGCCCATTCCACGTAGAATATCTGTGGGTGCAAAATAATACATAGGGACTTTAATGAAAAGTAATTAATGCACTATGATTTTTAGTGACGATGTGCTTCTATCACTACTATTGGTCTGAAAATCCATCTCAATAACAGATCAAGAATAGATCAGAACTGAGAATCTGAAATTATGAAATACACATAAATGCGATGACACTGTGAAGCTATATTGTAATATAAATCTACTCAAATATGATGGTATGCAGCTTGTTGACAGTCTCAAATGTAAGATAAACAGTGTGTTCAAATGATCTGAACCCAGAAACTGAAATGAAACATGAATTGACCTCATTTGAGAAGACAGCTCTACTGATGCCTCGCTCCAGGCTTTGGATTAAAAGAAGTATAGAACACAAATACTTATGATTGACAGGATATTCACCGTATATGCGGCTTGAGAAGCGAAGGCATTGACTCAGTTACTGCAGCACTAAATCAGCCTCATGCTTGTGTCAAGAGAAACATGAGCGCTCTTTTATCTTCACTTTCAACTCGAAATAGATCTTCTAATGAATCTGAAGATGCTCTTTGTTATTTACTATTTTAATCGGAACACATTTGCATGTATGAGCCATTGCCATGGCAACGCCTTGAGGAGACGAGCTCTCAAGACTTGTTTGTTTGGGCTGGTTAGTGTCACACCACTTAATAAACTATTCAACCCAACACAGACCGCTCTTCTTCATCATGTGTCACATCACTGTATGAAAGATGATCACGAGAGATGATGAAATACATGCTACAGGATTTTTCAGCAACATTAAAGGATAGTTCACCCAAAAAATGAACATTCTGTCATTGTTTACTCATCCTCAAGTTGCTCCAAACCTGTATGATAAAAGAAGATATTTTGAAGAATGTTGATATGCAAACAGTTGACAGTAGCCATTGACTTCCATAGTATTTTTTTCCCACACTATCAAGTCAACAGGGGACCGACAACTGTTTGCTTATCAACATTCTTCAAAATATTGTTCATGTTCAGCAGAAGAAAGAAACGTATACAGGTTTGAAACAGCTTGAAAATAAGTAAACAATGACGGAATGTTCTTTTTGGGTGAACTGTCTCTTTAAGGAGTCGTCGTGATGTTTTGTCCACTTCACTTTGAAATAAAGGTTACATATATATTTTTTAAATTAGCATTTTTGAGTGTTAGTATATACATGTACATATTCTGTTCGACATAATATACAATTTATTGTGATGCATATTTTTGTAAAGTGTAAACGATTAAATGAGTTTATGTCCACCCTGTTACATTGGTGCTACTTGTCCTTTAAAATCTTAAGCGTGTGCCGTAAATCACATGACCTGCTAGAAGTGACATCATTTCCTTTGAGGGAATGTGAATCCAAGATTAAATGAAGTTTTAGTCATAAACTTTTTCACTTTTCCTCATTTTTAGAAATCTTATCAATTAGCGTAAAACTCAACATGTCCACCCTGTTGAGTCAGTTTATAATGGAATTGAAAATGTTATACATCTATTAAATTTCTTGCTAAATCCTCTGATAGCCAGGTTTAAAGGTCCACACTGTTACACACTGCAGTGAAATGTGCTGTAACAGGGTGGACAGACTGAAATATTTGCTCAGGATTATTGGGTTATTGTTATAGTTTGAGGCCTGAGCTCCAGCAGTCTGTTTTTTTTATACACACATGTTTTAAACCTCTGATAAGACTGAAAAAGCACTGAATTTTAACATTTTTCACCTTATCTGATCAGTCAAAGTTGCACCAAACTGTAGGAATGACCAAGAATGCAGATTATTTTCTTGTTTCTTATTTTTTTTTTAAATGGTTTGTTTATCGTTTTTTTTATGTAAAAAAACAAAACAAACAAAATGATAAAGATAAACTGGAATTGACAGTATCAGAGAGATAAAAAACTATACATTACACCTGCATACACATACAGTTGTGGTCAAAATTTTACATACACTTCGGAGTATCTGCCAAATGTTAATTATTTGACCAAAATAAGAGGGGTCATACAAAATGCATGTTATTTTTTATTTAGTACTGACCTGAATAAGATATTTCACCTAAAAGACCACAAGAGAAAATAATAACGGAATTTAAAAAAAAAATGACCCCGTTTAAAAGTTTACATGATTCTTAATACTGTCAGTCCCTTGTTTGTCCTGAAAAGTGAATCTGCCTGCTGTTCTTCAGAAAAATCCTTCAGCTCCCACAAATTCTTTGGTTTTCCAGCATTTCTGCGTATTTGAACCCTTTCCAACAATGACTGTATGATTTTGAGCTCCATCTTTTCACACTGAGGACAACTGAGGGACTTACATGCAACTATTTCAAAAAGTTGATAGATGGTCAGTGTGATTGACAGATGATTGTCTAAAGAACTAAGTCATCTGAAGTTCTTTATGAGGTTCATCAGTTTTTCAGTTATTGGTCAGTAATCAGTGTGTAATGTGTGTTTTCAGTGTGTCCATCACCAGCAGATGGCATCATCAGATCAGCTGAAGTCCTCTCATCATCTCTCATCGTGTGTGTGTGTGTGTGTGTGTGTGTGAGTGTGTGTGTGTGTGTGTGTGTGTGTGTGTGAGTGTGTGTGTGTGAGGTCCTGCGCTGCTCCTCCTGCGGAAACGCTTCACTTCTGGTGTGAAACAGTGTTTGCAGGGCAGGGCAGCGGCTGATAGAGGAACTCACACCATCTACAACAAACATGAAGAACGTCTGAGTCCAAACTCACAGCAGATCAGCATCACATATACTGTATATATATGTATAAGTCACCATGACTGAGAGCTATCACACAGGTAAGACAGCATTTAACTTTAACTAAACTAAACTCTTATTACTGACAGACAGCTCTCTGTCTTCTATCAGCATCTGTATTTCCATTTATTTTTTATCGGTAATGTTTTATTGATCTGCACTTTATATCAAAGCACCAGTAAGCAGAAAGACAGATTTAATGCAGGTTATAGATGATTAAAGTATATTTAACTACAGATTATTCTTTACTGTAACTGTAAAGTACTAAAACAATATCTTATCTCTATTCTTATATCAATTATTATATTTTCAAATAATGCACATGTCTTTTTGAGTTCTGTTGAAGTGAAGCTTGATGCCTGTTTGGTGCTGATGGATTTTATACGGAAATGTATATCTGTAGTCCAGGATCACTTCCACTCCCGTAACACCGCTGAAATATTATCTGACATACAGTCATCAGATGATCCGGTGTCAAATACTCTCATATCTCATATTTCATATCTATTTCATATTTCATATCTGCTGTTATGATTGCTTGTAGATCAGCTCTTGTTTCTGTCCTCTGATCGCTGTGGTGTGTTTGGATGCTCATATCTGAAGTGAAACACAAACACACACACACACACGCGCACACACACACACACACACACACACACACACACACACACATGTGTTCAGACGCCCCTCACGCAGGAGCCAGTGGCCCCCATGACAACAGATTGCCTGTTTCATAAAGCAGAACAGGACTCTGTGCTCGTGAAGTGTGAAGCTCATTGTTCCAGACTCTGATCTGATCAATAATCTGTTTTAATGTTTATTTTGATGTTGTCATGTTGAGGATGAACTCACTGCTGGATGAGCTCATGTTTATATTGAGCTGGATGTGAATCTGCAGAGACACACTGATGTTTGATCAAACGTTCACTCGTGTGATTAATTGTGTCTCGTTTGGTTTTTCTCAGATTTGACGGCGGAGGAGCAGATGGAGATCGAGCAGCTGAAGATGCACAAGCAGATCCTGCTGGAGGACATTGAGGTAAATGAACATCAGCTGCTGCTTCACACACACACACACGCACACACATACACACACACACACACACACACACACACACGCACGCACGCACGCA